TCATGTACCCTGACTCTGTGATAAAGCACATACGACATACGCACACTTTGTCTATGTTTCTAATGAATTCATTGTCTGGAAAATACTTTTCAATAGGCTGAAAGCAGGTTAGCTATTTTTAATCCAAACATAACATAGATATCAGTGCACATAAGACAGTTAGAAAAGCAGACACATTAGTTCTATTTTTGGCTGCAGTAATACAGTTAAATATATAAAGGTTTGAAATTGGTTTTTGTTCTGTCTTTAGCTTATGTTTGGGTTTTTTTTCTGTTTTTCAGCTAAAATCTTATAGGTCTTTGTTATGAAACAAGAGCTTAGACTGTGCAGAAAGAAATATCAGAATTAATTGCACAGAGGAACTAGCGTCTCAGGAGACTGGGGACTGAGTACAAATCTTTACATTTTAGGGACCTTCTTCATCTATCTGGTAATAGTGACCAAAAATACTTGCCATTTAATGGCTAGTAAGTGGCCTGTGTGAAAGGGATCTCAGTGCATTTCACAGAGGGGTAGCAATGGGAATTAGGAAATTACAACAATGATATGACTGGACCACACAAAGGAAAAATGGAAACAAAAAAATAAATGAGCAGGTAGGGACGCTGGGTGCTCATTTCAAAATTTTCTAAAAAGCTTTGTTCGAAGCATGGGTGAACTACAGAGGGGGGAAAGGCATTATATAGTGGTTACAGGCACCAAACCAACTGAGTTCCAGTGTCACACCAAATGGTACCAGTGGTTAGAGCAGAGGGCCTGGGGTGTCAAGACCTGTGGGTTTCATTTCCAGCTGTGAACTGGGTATACATATTTATATATGCTTTTTCATCTCATTTTCCTGGTGCGTAAGATGTCATGTCCAATGGAGCTCTCACTGAGATGAAGATCTCAAAATGATAATGCTTTTAAAACCTCCCTAAGCCCTTATAGCGGATAACAATAATTGGAGGGGGGGCGGTGTTAACAACCTGCCAGGTCTCCCTGTGAGAATGTTTCGAGGCAAACAAAGAAAATGCATCACGTTCCAGTTTAATAAAAGCCAAATGATGCTGTTTGCCAATTACCAAAAGGGGGTGAAGGTTAAAACCCCACTGAATTATAGCATATGTCATGGACCAAGGCTTCTATGATTAACAGTTCTCTGAGAAATTCATTAATTTCACCAGAACCAAGTTGAACAGAGATGGTGTAAAATGACAGAAAGCAGGAAAGGGGTAGACTATACTAGACTTGGTTAGAAAAAGCACCATTAAACAGCAACCCAGAGATCAGGGGACTCTTTTGTTATTGTTGCTTAGAAAAAAAATGCCCAACAAAACCCTTGGAGATTACAAAAAATGATTGGGCTTGTTAAGCCTTTATATATGGTTTTGTTCTTTGTCATTTCTTCTTAGAGGCAGAAAGAGCAGGAGAGAATTAAGAAAGGGGGCAACTTGTGCATTGAAAGACTTATATTGGCCCATGGAATAGAGAAATCTCTGACGGAGGGGATTTTTTGAAGGGCAGGGGCGAGGGGAGGGGATGGCTTGTTGTTGAGGAATGGTTTATGCTGGCTCAGGTATGCCAGGTCATGCACTTTTGTGGAAGGAGCTGAGGGTGCATGGTTTTCAAACCATATTTAAACAAACCGTCGGTCGGTTATTCCAAAACTGATTGTTGAACTTGGGGAGCAGAGAAGTGCTTTGGAGGTGCTGAGTTTTCTGGACTACAGCATTGGCCTGTGATATGTGTACAGCGGCAGAGATTTATATGTACATATGTATGTACTGCTACACAGACATAACTCAAAGGGGGTAAAAAATACAGCTCACCCTGAATAAGCCAATTCTTGGCCGCTACAGCAGTGTTGAAAGTAGTAAAACAAAGTTCAATAGAACTGGGAAAAGCCAATGTACTTCCTTCAAACTATAAAGTACACACAGCGGTGACATAGTTATATAACAAAAAAAACATGAGGTACCTGTGCTAGAGAACGACATAAAACAAGACACCGGTCCAAGGAAAGGGAAATGTATCTTCATTATAAACAAGGAGTCAGCAGAGAATTATAAAGCGGAAACGTTATGAAAGCAGGAATTCTAGCAAGTGAACCAGGGCATCTGTCTTAGCTTCAGCACCATGGTTTCCAGTACAGAACAAAACTGCAGCACAAGGCATGCAGGTCTTCTTGTGCCTGATGCATGCAGGGGTCTTAGGAAGAAGTCAGTGCTTAACAATAGTTATCCCTGAGAGGTATGTGAGACTGCTTTGGCCTTCTATACAGTGAAAAGAAAATTAGCATGGTATCTCAGTTAAAGGCATAGCAACTGCTGGCTTTTTTAACAGTAGCCATGCTACTTACATTTCCAGGATGTGCATTAGGAAGCGTGTTGGGTGAATATATAAACAGACACACATACGAGTCTGGTTTTCAATGTCCCTTACACAAGGCAAGCGAAGTGAAATGTCACTGTCGCCAGCAGAGCTCTACAGGTGTTAAACCGGTGCAATAGGAAAATTAGTTGCATGACATCGACTATGTATCTCTTTTATAGCACATCTCCGGCAGTGTTAGGCACCTCTGCCAAAAAAACTTCTGCAAGTTGCACAGGGAAAAACAAATCAATGGAAAATATGGGCCATAATTTAAGAAACAGGAGCACAAGTACCACGATGTTCAATAGAATTTGTGCCCCTGACCTGCATGGACTCTTAAAAATCCCATCCAAAATATACACTTTTAAAAAGGAGTGGGAAAGCACATTTTATTCTGTTATTTGGGTGGTCTGCTCACTGACACATGGGAAAGATGCATTTCCTCTTAAAAGAACTTCTATGAGGAGATATATTCCTATTCTCTCTCATATTCAAAGTCCTTGCCCAAGCTCATAAGCACCTGTATCTAACTGCACATTCTCTCCAACCAAAATAGTGCGCTCTCTCAGAGGAGGGAAACAATTTCTCTTGCAGAATGAAGCTAAAAAGAGACAAAAGAAATGCCTGTGTTTATCGAAGGGACAATGACAAGCTGTTTATATCTAGGAAGCAAGTTTCTTAAAAAAGAACGTATAAATGAGATGAAAAGGACAAGGAGAGTGGGAGATCAGGGAAAACAGCTGGAAGCTGTTCAGACAAAGAAAGTGAGCGAAAGACGGCATGTTTGTGTGAGGGGGAGAGACCTGCTGGAACTTTAGACCAGTCCTAACATACCTTTCCCCATGCTCTGGACTCATCTGCGCTATATCGTGGTGCCCCAGGCAGTCCCACCATAGAACAATTTGGATCCGTCCCAGCGGAGTCTGATCCAAAGTGCACTGAAGGCAACAGAAAGGCTGCAATTGATTTCAACAGGCTTTAAATTAGACCTTTGTTTCAAACGCTTTTAGGTCCTTACATGAACTTAGAAGCTTTATACATAATATAGCATTTTTATCTGTAGAATGGATGCTCTATAGTTTGGCTACTTTGAATAGGTGAAGCTGTCACTTTGGGACCAAATTAGCTGAAGCTTTCAGTGGTTCAGTGTATCATTAAAAAAAAAAAAGAGGTAAAAAAACAGTGGGCAGCTATTATTATTTATAATTATTAAAAGATAATAATGGATAATAGTAAATAATGTATTGAAAATATATTGCGAATTATAAAAAAATGTTTCTACAGGTTAGTTTGCTGGGAGTATGCATTTTTTGTATTGAGGGAATAACTTTTCTAGACACACGACACTTCCACTTTTATAATAAATAGTTCAATTACTACTGAACATTGAGGGGTGGGGAGAGAGCAAGAGAGAGAGAAATGGGGCCCATTTTTTCTGAGTCCTCTCAGCCTCCATGCTGCTTCTAGCTACCTCCTACCCCTGCATCTCCCTCTCTCTCTCTACCTTCTGCACTGGGATTTGGCCAGACTTCCACATCTCATCTGAAACTTGATCTTGCTGTCTTTGGGCCTCTGAATTTATACAGCTTATTGCACAGAATGATCAGACTCCTTGAATCTAGGTCAGAACACACTGACTGGATTGATTTCGCTATAGATATACTTTTCTTCCCTCTTCCCTCCCCTTCCCCCTTCTCAGAATAAAAGCAGGTCCTGAAAAGCCAGGCCAGAATGCTATCACAAACTGGACAGTACTCCTACAAGGCAGATCAGGGGCTTGCTGGGCAATTCAAACTAGCTTGTTTTACTGTTACTGGGTTTCCTGTTTGAATGTTCCTTGCAGCTTTGGGCAGGCTGAAGAAAATGTCTCTTTGAAAGGTTTTGCTAAATTTTCCCTGCTTGCTTTTGATGCCTTGCTGAAAGGATCCAGGAGATTGTGGAGAGAGAGGCTGTGAAAGGTCACCAGCGCTGTGGGATGCAAAGCGGAGATGGGGAGGGGCGGGTGGTGATCTATTGATCTGTCTCTAATATCAACAACAATAAAGCAGCAGCCATAAACTTATAGTGCTTTTCATCCTGGAAGGTCCCAAAGAGCTTTTCAGAGAATGGGCCTGATTCTAGAAGTGCGGAGGGCCCTTGATTAACTGAAGAAAACAAAGAGAATAGTATGCACTAGGGATTTATCCCCAGGTGTTATGCATCTTGTCTTGCAGAAGCAGGCTAAATATAAGCATGGGAATCGCTTTATTCATCGCAGAAGGGCAGCCATGTCTGTGGCCGAATGCGGTAGCTGTTTAACAGCATGAAGACTGCTTCATGCACAGCAATTTAGCTGAAGGGCTATGATGTGATTGGCTAAAGTGGCACCTTATTGGAGAAAGTATGCAGCATCAACTGGACACCGTTCCAGCTCATAACAGAAGAGAAAGGAGGAGGAAATAATTTACTAACAGTATCCCCTGTGGGTTAAATACGCCATCCATCCTGGTCAATGAGAACACTGCTGTTTTTACCAGCAACACAAAGGGGTCAGCAGAGTTCAGGCCCCTGGCCCCTCCTGTCTCTTTTTAACCTCTTGATCAGATCCACTGGAGCACGAAGTCAGTGGGTGGCTAGGGGAGAAGGAAGCAGGCTGACAGGCTCACCTCTGCTCAGCTGGGCTGTAGGTCTGTCCTCTCTGACAGCTGCTGATGGTGATGGGGTCGAAGTTGTGAAAGGAGCGCAGGGCCACCCCGGAGATGGCCACAAACTGGGAGTTGAAGCTAATCAGGACAGCCTGGGTGTGGTAGAAAGGGTGACTGAGGTCATGGATCACGGGGATAATCAGGGGATTGTTCCTGCAGCTCAGAACGTGGACACCTGTCAGAAGAAAGGCAAGATCAGAGGAAAGGGTTGGGGGTGGAAATCGGTTCTTTTCACAATGACACTCCTATGCCGCTGGCATTTGAGAAGCATGTCATCCTCATGGAAGATCCCTAGAGACCAGTTATGACAAACGTTCCTATAGGGTTTGTTTTTGGAATCATCCCACGGGTTTTTCCCCGTCCTTTAGAATCCTATGGAATGCTCCACACAAAGACTGTGTCGGTCTCTCGGGTTAATTCTGCAGGCCGGGCAGGAGAACAATGTCTTTAGAGTCCTGTTACATTTCTATTGCACCCTATTAAATCAGAAGCAGCTACAATGACGGAAATGGAGTTACGCTCCTGTAAAAACACTGCAAGTGGGAAGACAGTTAGACCCTTTATGTTACACATCTAATTGTGCCAGCAGAATGGGGAGCTTTGTGCATAATGGGCAGTTTACCAGCGGTTTGTTTGCAGCTGTGTGTGTCATTACCCACTGGATGCAGGATCTTTTGGACCCCTTCTGTGCATGCCCTAGCTTTTGTTTGTTGTTTGTTTTAAATAAAGTAGCTTTTGGCTCTTCCTTAATAGGACAAGGACGAGCTGAGTCTGGAGAGAGATACTGGCATGTGGTGGGTACGGTGAAGATTTAAAAGGTGACCCTCTCTGACAAGAATATAAATCAAAGATTGTGGGGTCTGCCAAGGTGGAAGTGCCAAACAACTGCTGTGAGATACTGAGCAGCCTTCTCACCTCATTAACTCCAGTAGGAGAGGAGGACACTCAATAGCACTCAGCAGATGCTCAGCACTGCACAGCATAGGCCACTGACACACAAAGACTTCAATGGGCCAGAATCACTCCAGGAGTAACCCTATTGATTTCTTTTGAGTTACCACAGGACTACACCTGACTGTAAATCCATTGACTCCAGTTGGTTGTACCAAGGAGGGATATTGAGCCTTCTTTCCCAACCCTCTGTGGAATTGCTATAAGGATCTATTTGGCTCCCACTTCATTCACCTCGCTGGAGTTTCATCAGCAATGAATTCGGTCCAGAGCCTTTGGCCACACTAATACATTTATGAATTTGAAAATACGTTCTATGTGTGTGTTTAATTGACTCTGGGATTTTTCTTGTTTAGTCCAGCTTTCTTAACTCAAGAGAGAGAAAAAAAAGAGAGGACTTTTTCCCCATTTGGAAAGGGATTTCCTGTGAATTAAGACAGACTTCTGATTATTCTCTTTAAACTTCTCCCTCCCACCATCTTTTTTTTTTATTTCCCACTTCTTCCTGTAACAAAAAGGGCTCTTTTCTCCTTTTGCTTTCTATCTGACCCTGGAATAACCTCACTGTCTGCTTGCCTCCCACAGGTCTTTTGAGATGAGCTCCCAGTGGAAAGGTTCAGGTTTCCCACTAAGGAACAGGTGCGGTTCATTCTTGAGACTCGCTCCTTTGGAATCCTTGGATTCCAAATGCCTTGGAAGTTTCTGTCTTCTCTGATGGAAAGCCAGAAAGTCCTGACTTTGTCTGAGGCTGTTTGTTCAGTTCAATCTCCAGCACTTAGATGTCCATCACAAAACAGATGACCGTGGCTTGCATGAACTGGTACTTTTGCTCCCCACGAAGGGGACTAGGATTGAATGGGTCATGGCCAGTGAACTATTCTTTCTCACCTAAAGGGAGCCAACCAAGACAGGAATGGCACATACAGGGCAAAGCAGCAGTGGTTAGAGCTAGTTGTCTACTTGAACTGATAGCACAACTTTTAGCACCTCTTCCAATGTTTGCAGCATCTGAATCTTTGGAAATGCTTTTCAGATGCTCTCTTGCTACAGCCTGTGGCTAAGACTTCCTTCCTCATCACAGCCTCTGCTGTGCAGGACTCAGTGGAAGTTTTCCTTCATCTTCTGAGAAGAGTAAAATAGCACAATGCAAATGTCACTTCTGCAACTGTCAGGCAGCATAGGGATACCCAAACTAGCTTTAAACTAGGGGCTTTTGGGTACCCATAACAATTTAGCTGTGGCAGCCCAGAGCTCTGTGCTGGTTGTGTTACTATGATTCGAGTGTGGACTGACTCCTGTTCTGCTCCTGACCTCTACTTAAGGCTCTCTGCCAGGTCTCATAGTACAAAGAGCACAAGGGCACAGAATGGGACTGACGCAGCCGACAGTACTCAGCCAAAGCAGCCAGTGAAGTCAACAAGGATCCCGACTGAGGAACAACTACTGAGCTGGGCCCTGCTTGTATCTCCCTTCCATTAAGCTAAAAAATCAATGTAGTCTGCTGGCCCCTGGAGAGGTCAGAGGGGCTTTTCCATCATGAAAGCAGTGTCTTAAGTATGAAGATTTGCAGGCGTCAGTTTGGGCTGTGCCAAACACATGTTGCAATTTTTTGAAGGATTTCAAAACTTTGCCCTTGATTCCCTTTCCTGCTTCTCTTCTCTCTCAGTCTGTCTCTCTCCAAACAGTTGTGTGTTAGATGTTAGTTAGCAGGGCCAGCTTTCATTTATTTTTCAGAGGGTAGCAGCTACAATCTTACTACAAGTCATCCCCCTGGGAGAGGAGGAGGATGCTACTGACCCAGAGTACTCAAGGAAACCCATGCAGCTAAGACAATGGGCTTATCTATTTGAGTTGCATTCAAATGCAAAGGGAAGTCCCATATATAAATTCTTCCATGCTCCTCTCAAAATGAACCCTTATAGGCTTCCTTTTGATTCATGCCCAATCAATGTTACAAAGTTTAAGTTATGAGTGAGATAACTGTCCAGCACCCCTTCACTTGCCCTGGTCCCATTCTCTTCCTCTTCACAGACACAGTGGTGATATGAACTATGCAGCCCCCCTCAAAAAAAAGAGAAAAAGAAACTTGATTCTGGTTTGTCATTATATTTTTGTTTGTTTTAAATCAAATTAAAACCAGCATCCCCCAGGCATGAACATCAGGGACCCAGGCTGGGTTCAGAGGAAATGCTATCATGGATTCAGTGAAAGTACACTGAACCAAAGATATTCTGGCATTTTGATGATGACACGTTATTTTGTTGAAAAATTCTGACTGGGTCTAATAAGAATATATAAGAAGGTGGGAAATTTGGAAGGGAGACTGGAAAAAGCAATCCCTTATACTCCAGTCGCCACAGCACCTTGGGGAAAGAAAAAAAAAAAATATATATATAAACAGCAGGGGGACTTTTTCATATATCAATATCTTTATGTAGATATCTATATAATGTTATCTACTTATATAGCAAGAGCCATTCCAAAAGAGGCATTACAACAGATGCGCAGAACTCAGGATGCAGCATGCTAAATTATTTTGGAAACCTGCCTGTAAATGTGACTAAAGGAGTTGCTGGGGGCAGAATACTTTTGCAAACATGGTCCTTATTTTGGTGCCCCAAGGGGAGTTAAACATGTCTGAGGATCTACCTCACAGGGACCAATTGCTGAACAGCCTCTGGGTAAAATGACACCAAAACACACTCAATAAGCCTCAGCTTTTAGAGATTTAACAAAAACTTTCACTTGTGGCTTTCTGCTCCAGTGACCCCAGCCTGATGCTGGAAAAGCTGAGTAGGAATACCCTGTGAATGGGGTTGGAGTGGATGGAGGAAAGAGAGGAAGCCTATGAAAGAAGAAAGGCAATGCTCAGTGGAAAACATTCTCACCGAGATCATGGCTTTGGTCTTTGGTGTCAAACAGTTGCACATTGATGGTTTCCTGCTTCTGATCCAGATAGTATGTTCCATCAGTGACCAAGTGCACAATGACTGCAGCAGCTACCATAGGTTGTGAAAAAAAGGTCTGTGAAAGAGAGAACGAGCAAAGAGGATCAGGTGCAGAACTGAGCTGCTTTATGCCTTTTTAAATGCAATAGCCAAAACAATGCATGTACAATCAAAAATTTTATCACCGGCCACAGAAAATCTTCTCTTCTATTCTCTCCTTTTGCTCAGCCATGTCTGTCTCTTGGGGAAAACGTAAGACACTAAACTGAGGACCTACAGTTTTAAACACATCAGCTGCTAAGCTACTGCTTGAATTAGGCCACTTCTACATGCCACAAAATTGGCTTTAAAGTGACTTAATGTCCTTTTGCACTGCTTTAATGGTGCAGCTGTTTGCACATGTTGGCAGAGTAATGCGCTTTAATGGCGGGCTGTTTGCTTGTGTCGGCAGCGTAATGCGTGTTCAATGACTCTGGGACGCAGCAAAATAAGACATCTCCAAGATGGTATAGTTTGCCATGGAGGGAAGCATTGGGCCCTGTGCAACTCAGGGGCTGTCCAGGCAGGCTCCACTGAAGGAAAAAAAAAAAAGAGGCAAGCCTGATTCCTTTTTCCCCCCGCCAGAGCCTGCCTGCCTGAGCTGTGTGGGGGCCTGGTGCTTCCCTCCACAGCTGCGGTGCCCTCCGGGACCACATAGGTCGGGTGCTTGCAAGTGGGTGCTGCCTGGGGGGCGCTGCCACTGCCATGGAGGGAAGCACCAACGCTCCTCCCCCTGCAGCTCAGGGACTGCTCGGCCTGTTGGCAGCTTGTCCTCCCCTCCCTGCTGCCGGAGAGGCAGGAAAGGGTCAGGCCCAACCCTTGTGTACATGCCACGGGGGTTTACTTCACCCTAAATTGAAGTGGTGTTTTTAAAGACCCACTGCTTCAATTTAAGGAGAATTAAACCGAAATAAACCCCTGTGGTATGTGCAAACGCCCTTAGAGGTATGGCTCTATAGCAGGGCTCTGTAATAGCTCACATCCTCTCTAGCTCAAGACCAGAGTGGGAACAGCAATATATCCTCAGCCATGGGTTATATGTGTGACCTTTGTATTATTCATACACATGGTAATTAAAAGAAAATAAAATGTCTGCCCTTGGAAGTGTTTCCCTGCTGGAGAATCTCTGAACTAGACAGAGGAGAAAAAGACTTCAGAATTGTACTGGTCACTGTGCACCTCTTACCTTGAGCCAGAAAATGGTCTGAGCTATATGTGAATACTGAAAGTTGGCTGTGCACGGATACCAAGCATACTGAGACACCCCGTCACTCAGGTCAATCACTTTTGTTCGGCACACCTGGACCAAAAGAAAGGAAGGGGAAAATATTAAAATAGATTCAGGTTCCCATATAAAATAGATATATTTTTTTTCCAAGTGGTAGATGGGCTCATAGACATGCTGGAATAACAGTGAAAACAACTGGAAATGACACTTCCAGTACCTACATTTATTCATAAATCATTATCTTTAGGTTTTCCCCTCATTGGTCTTTTCCAAACTAACCCATGAATGGGAACGAAAGACTCACAGTAGTAACAAGAAATGCAAAACTCTTAAACTCTTGGTTCAGAGATGATACCTTTTATTAAACCAACTAAGAAATCGCAAGAAAAATAAAGATTTTTTTTTTTTGCGATTTCTTAGTTGGTCTAATAAAAGGTATCATCTCTGAACCAAAAGTCTTAGAGTTTTGCATTTCTTTTTGTCTCAGCCCAACACAGCTACCAAATACATCCCTGAAACAGTGGTAACAAAACACTCACAGCAGGGCTAAGGGTGAGGTTTTCAAAGTGCTCAGCTTAGTTTTGCTTTCATAGAAGTCAACTGCTATCTCCTTCCTTTGAAGTCAGAGCACTGGGCACTTTTGAAAATCCCACACTAAAATGACAGGCAGACAGACAAACAGAAAGATGGATTGCAAAAAGCACTCCTTGGTAACCACGCACTGTGTACTTCTATTTAAAACCTGCCTGTTCCTAACTGTATCTAGCTGGCCTTCTCTCTGGGGTGGCTACAGACTGCCCTGTGAAATTGCAAAGAAGTGCAGCCAGGAATGCACTTTGTCCACTTTCCAACTCAGTCTTGTTAATCAATCTTCTTAATTGCAATCACCTTATTACATCCACCAGCCATCCCAGCACAGCCAGGTTGAAGAAGAGACTGCAGTCCCACTGACTTATGCACAAAGCTCTCTTGTAAAGAGGAAGCATGATGAATCTCAAATAATGGGAGAACTGTAGCACAAGCATGGAAGATATAGAAAAGGTGCCAGAAGACATAAGGTTGGAGTGTTGTTGTAGCCGTGATGGTCCAAGTAATGACATGGATTTCCTCTTGCAGCACTGCAACTCAGCAAGGCTGTTTTTAAAATGAAAGCACACGTCTGTGATGCCCCAAAGCGCTGTCCCTGGAGTGCAAGCATGGCCAGACTGCAGCACTTTGAATATTAAAACCACAACTGAATTGGTAGGATGCCTTCCATCTGAGGCTCTCAGTGCACTTTCAGGGGTATTAATTAAGCCTCCCAAGTCCTTGGCAAACTGAGTAAATGACATTCTTATCTTGTGAAACTGAGGCACAGAGAGAAGAAGAGTTTTTCTTTGTGGTGGTCACACAATAAATTGGTTGCAGAGACTAGAATACAGTCCAAGAGGCCAAGCCTGCCCCCCCCCACCCTCCGTCCCGACTGTGTTAACTGCTTCACTACTTTTCTTCTTCCAAAAAGGCACCAAAAAGGATGCTAAGGCCTTGCCTCGGCAAACCCCTTGTCTGGGTGGAGCTGCATTCCCTTGGGTGCAACAGCAGATCTGATTGCAAGACTTGAACTAGGGCCTAAGCTGCAGAACCCGCTGTAAATAACCCATCCCCAGCGATGAGTGCATTGTTCCTGACAAAAATGAAACAAGAGGATTAGCAGAGCTATTTTGATAGTGAAAAATACAATGGCTGTTCAGTAGTGATGCACAGAGCTCCGTGCCGTGTCTCTGCAGGCTAAATCAAGGCAATGCTAAAAGGGCTTGAAATGCTCAGGAATGGAGCAATCGGATTGGCCAAAAGTGAGGTAATGACTTCTATAATTCGAATCCCGAAAGGCCCAGTGCAGAGGAATCTATGGGCAAAACATAAATCAGCTTTAATGGGCTGGAAGAAGATTTTTAGTTTATTTATTTTTTTAAAACAACTGGGACCAAGCTTCATTGAGGCTAGCCAGTGGATAGTGTTACATTTTACAACAGTGCAAGACTTTACATAAACTATCTTTGGCATTTGAAATCCAGTCCAGCAATTCAACATGTATCATTTCGCAATTCTCCTTTCTTGCATTTTCAGCAGCCCCTCGCTCTTGTTGGGAGTGTGTGTGGTGTGGTTTTTATTTTAATACCTACTCAGCTAGGGAATTTAACTTGCCCACATCTGCAATTTATATGGGCACAGACCTTTTTGACATGAACAAAGGAATCATTAGTTTTAATATAGTTTTGTTCTCATTCTTGTCTCTCCACTAACACTATCAACCCAAAGAGCTGGTTGAAAGAAACAAGAGGTCTGGGGTTTGGCTCATTTTAACTGCCACTTGGGTGAGATGGGTAAGAACAACTATTAAGACCTGGCCCGGGCCTTCACCAAAAATTTGATCCAAACCCAAAACAAACTGCTGTTGAGGTACAGAAAAGCTCTGATAACTTTTAAATACCTCGTTTTCAAATGCTGGGAACCTTTATGCTTCCCGTTTCTGTCTGAGACCATGGGGAGGAACCTGAACACGTCACAAGAAAGCCCACTCCTCGGGTATTTCTAGTTCAATTTTGAAAACTTCAGAGATCAGGCTAGTGTGAACAAGTGTGAACAAGGTTCAGATAAGTTCACAATCTGAGATGGGTCTGAGGCTGACCCTTTCCCACTCCTTCAAACAATTCAAAACACTTCTGGGGGTGTCTAATTTGGAAGCCAGCTATGATTGTGAGGGGTCTAAGCAAGTCTAACTAAGACTAGAGAAGTGTTGTCTGCACCAGCTGTACAAGTTTCAGCACTGGAGTTATCGGTTTTAAGCAAATTTCTCTAGTGTGGACACATTCTTAAGGCTTTGGCAATAACAGCCTTATTAGATCAACCGTCCCACTTGCTGACAGACTTTACCATCTCAAAAGCCCTTCTAAGCTTGCCTGGTAAATGCATACCCTTTGCATGTCCAACCCATAATGATTGCCAGAATACACCTGAAAAAAGTTCATTAATTACTTGCTAGAAGCATTTTTCACACTTCTTCTTTTCAAGCATCATTGGAAGAATAAAGAATAGACAACAATACTGAGGTCATTATTATTGGAAAGCCATTATTTTTAAGCTACAACTGAGCAACACAGGGTAGCAAAGTATGCAAGAAGGACATACACACAGAAAGAGAATGGGACAGAGGGATGAGGAGATGGAGCATGACTGCATCCCCTAACTTTGCAAATGGAAAAAGTAACACGGCTATTTCTATTACAGTGGGGCAAATTCTAAAGAAATCCACATTAATGAGAAATGACCTGTTTCCCACCATTGTCCATTGATGTTTGCAACAACAATGCAAAACAGAAGACAGTGCACCTGACAGATAGGAACGGAGGGATAGATGGATGTATTTCATGTCAGAGGAAGTTACCAAATGCAAAGTATTTTGTGTTTCTAATGTCTGAGCTACTAAGCAACGGACTCTTTACTCACTGATAGGTATCCAGGTTAAGATACCCAAATTATATTTGGGCTACAAGCTTACTCTTTGCTCCTCCAGTATCTGGGGAGGATTCATAGTTACTAAAATCCCATGTCAAACTCCTCCCTAGAAAGCTGCTTTCAATTAAAGGAGTTAACAATGTCTGTTCCTTTCAGAGGGGTCTAATCCAGCTTGTCTTCCACCCACACATTTTGTACACAAAAGTGGAAAGACAGAGTGAACAAGGGCAGAGAGTGTTGTGGTATTTTCCCACACAAGGGAATGCCTTGAGGTTTCCCTTTGACTGATTTATACAACCCTTTGTCAGTCACAAGTCCAACATGTTCCTCCAGCCTCCTCTTCAGTTTTCTTCGTCTTACCCAAAGGGACTTGGGAATCTGTCATGCCAAAAGGAAAAAAAAAAGGATGTATCGAGGGTTCTCTTTTCATCTCCATGTCTCTAAGGCCTTTGAAAAGATGTTCTTGCATTTCAACACAAGTTACCACTTCCAACTGCTGTGGAAAGAAAGTATAGGGAGGAAAGATGGTCCAGGGGTAAGGCATTACAAGAAGACTCAACAGAGCTGGCTCAATCACAGACCTCCTGAATCCTTCAGTGAATCAATGAGGACCATATCTTGTTCCATCTATTGTGTGCCCAAGGAGCATGTAGGCATTTAAATGTGAACCACCTCCAGTCCCAGAAATAAATGTCATTAAGTCTACTTCTGTGGTGTGTCTTAGCCTTAAGAAATCACTAAAAGCAGGTAGGAAAAAGAGGGCCTTCCAGCCCTTTGTATTAATGGTTTTCCAGGGCCATGTGCCAAGTGGAACAGGATCACACTTAGATGCCATTTAGAGCTCCTAATGGATGAAGCAGGATCTGTGCCACATTTTCCCATGTGTAAGGTGAAAATAATATTTTCCTACCTTGCAGAGATGTTGTAAGGCTATATATAATCCACTAATGACAATGGGGCACCCAGAAACACCAATGATAAAGGACAATTAAGAACCCAAATATATGTAAATATGTAGATCTGCCTGTGCAAGAAAGTGTGACAATCTCCTACCCTGGAAATCTTGAAGAGGAGACTAGACAGTCACCTTGCTGGGGTCACCTGACCCCAGTTGTCTTTCCTGCTTGGTGCAGGGGACTGGATCCGGTGATCTTCCAAGGTCCCTTCCAGCCTTGCAACCTATGAATGTATGAATCATCTCACCCAGCTGGTCTTGTTCAGGAGGGTTAGCCAGGCCAGTACATTCTCTGTATGTCTGGGGGATTTAATCCCTTGCATAGCTATAAAAATGCAGCTCCCAAAAACAGACAAGCAAAACTGCCATTTGTACCCTACTTAAAACTGGCCCAAAACAAAAAAGGTAGCTTATCCTGCCTGTGCCCATCTACATCAGGGTTTGTACTAGTGCAGCAACCCACCTAGGTAGTGATAGATGCCTGTCAGTGAAGCAAATCTCTGATATTTAGACAAGACCACAGTCTAAGCTTATTTGTTCTCACAAGTTCCACGTGATGGGGCTTTGTCCAAGTAAGGCCTCAATGCTGGCAATTTGCTAAGGGGTAATCACAACACCAGTG